AGTGCCACCCCCCTGGTGTGTGGCCACGACACCACAGGAGAGCTAAGGTATAGTGCCACCCCCCCTGGTGTGTGACCAGGACACCACAGGAGAGCTAGGGTATAGTGCCACCCCCCAGGTGTGTGGCCAGGACACCACAGGAGAGCTAGGGTATAGTGCCACCCCCTGGTGTGTGACCAGGACACCACAGGAGAGCTAGGGTATAGTGCCACCCCCCTGGTGTGTGGCCACGACACCACAGGAGAGCTAAGGTATAGTGCCACCCCCCCTGGTGTGTGACCAGGACACCACAGGAGAGCTAGGGTATAGTGCCACCCCCCCTGGTGTGTGACCAGGACACCACAGGAGAGCTAGGGTATAGTGTGTGTGGCCAGGACACCACAGGAGAGCTAGGGTATAGTGCCACCCCCCTGGTGTGTGGCCAGGACACCACAGGAGAGCTAAGGTATAGTGCCACCCCCCTGGTGTGTGGCCAGGACACCACAGGAGAGCTAGGGTATAGTGCCACCCCCCCTGGTGTGTGACCAGGACACCACAGGAGAGCTAGGGTATAGTGCCACCCCCCAGGTGTGTGGCCAGGACACCACAGGAGAGCTAGGGTATAGTGCCACCCCCCTGGTGTGTGGCCAGGACACCACAGGAGAGCTAGGGTATAGTGCCACCCCCCTGGTGTGTGGCCACGACACCACAGGAGAGCTAAGGTATAGTGCCACCCCCCTGGTGTGTGGCCAGGACACCACAGGAGAGCTAGGGTATAGTGCCACCCCCCTGGTGTGTGGCCAGGACACCACAGGAGAGCTAGGGTATAGTGCCACCCCCTGGTGTGTGGCCAGGACACCACAGGAGAGCTAGGGTATAGTGCCACCCCCCTGGTGTGTGGCCAGGACACCACAGGAGAGCTAGGGTATAGTGCCACCCCCCTGGTGTGTGGCCAGGACACCACAGGAGAGCTAGGGTATAGTGCCACCCCCCTGGTGTGTGGCCAGGACACCACAGGAGAGCTAGGGTATAGTGCCACCCCCTGGTGTGTGGCCAGGACACCACAGGAGAGCTAGGGTATAGTGCCACCCCCCTGGTGTGTGGCCAGGACACCACAGGAGAGCTAGGGTATAGTGCCACCCCCCTGGTGTGTGACCAGGACACCACAGGAGAGCTAGGGTATAGTGCCACCCCCCTGGTGTGTGACCAGGACACCACAGGAGAGCTAGGGTATAGTGCCACCCCCTGGTGTGTGGCCAGGACACCACAGGAGAGCTAGGGTATAGTGCCACCCCCCTGGTGTGTGACCAGGACACCACAGGAGAGCTAGGGTATAGTGCCACCCCCTGGTGTGTGGCCAGGACACCACAGGAGAGCTAGGGTATAGTGCCACCCCCCTGGTGTGTGACCAGGACACCACAGGAGAGCTAGGGTATAGTGCCACCCCCCTGGTGTGTGGCCAGGACACCACAGGAGAGCTAGGGTATAGTGCCACCCCCTGGTGTGTGGCCAGGACACCACAGGAGAGCTAGGGTATAGTGCCACCCCCTGGTGTGTGACCAGGACACCACAGGAGAGCTAGGGTATAGTGCCACCCCCCTGGTGTGTGGCCAGGACACCACAGGAGAGCTAGGGTATAGTGCCACCCCCTGGTGTGTGGCCAGGACACCACAGGAGAGCTAGGGTATAGTGCCACCCCCTGGTGTGTGGCCGGCCACCACAGGAGAGCTAGGGTATAGTGCCACCCCCCTGGTGTGTGGCCACGACACCACAGGAGAGCTAGGGTATAGTGCCACCCCCTGGTGTGTGGCCACGACACCACAGGAGAGCTAGGGTATAGTGCCACCCCCCTGGTGTGTGGCCACGACACCACAGGAGAGCTAGGGTATAGTGCCACCCCCCTGGTGTGTGGCCACGACACCACAGGAGAGCTAGGGTATAGTGCCACCCCCCTGGTGTGTGGCCAGGACACCACAGGAGAGCTAGGGTATAGTGCCACCCCCTGGTGTGTGGCCAGGACACCACAGGAGAGCTAGGGTATAGTGCCACCCCCTGGTGTGTGGCCAGGACACCACAGGAGAGCTAGGGTATAGTGCCACCCCCTGGTGTGTGACCAGGACACCAAAGGAGAGCTAGGGTATAGTGCCACCCCCCTGGTGTGTGGCCAGGACACAACAGGAGAGCTAGGGTATAGTGCCACCCCCTGGTGTGTGGCCAGGACACCACAGGAGAGCTAGGGTATAGTGCCACCCCCTGGTGTGTGGCCAGGACACCACAGGAGAGCTAGGGTATAGTGCCACCCCCCTGGTGTGTGGCCAGGACACCACAGGAGAGCTAGGGTATAGTGCCACCCCCTGGTGTGTGGCCAGGACTCCACAGGAGAGCTAGGGTATAGTGCCACCCCCCTGGTGTGTGGCCACGACACCACAGGAGAGCTAGGGTATAGTGCCACCCCCTGGTGTGTGGCCACGACACCACAGGAGAGCTAGGGTATAGTGCCACCCCCTGGTGTGTGGCCAGGACACCACAGGAGAGCTAGGGTATAGTGCCACCCCCTGGTGTGTGGCCAGGACACCACAGGAGAGCTAGGGTATAGTGCCACCCCCTGGTGTGTGGCCAGGACACCACAGGAGAGCTAGGGTATAGTGCCACCCCCTGGTGTGTGGCCAGGACACCACAGGAGAGCTAGGGTATAGTGACACCCCCTGGTGTGTGGCCAGGACACCACAGGAGAGCTAGGTATAGTGCCACCCCCCTGGTGTGTGGCCAGGACACCACAGGAGAGCTAGGGTATAGTGCCACCCCCCTGGTGTGTGACCAGGACACCACAGGAGAGCTAGGGTATAGTGCCACCCCCCTGGTGTGTGATCAGGACACCACAGGAGAGCTAGGGTATAGTGCCACCCCCTGGTGTGTGGCCAGGACACCACAGGAGAGCTAGGGTATAGTGCCACCCCCTGGTGTGTGGCCACGACACCACAGGAGAGCTAGGGTATAGTGCCACCCCCCTGGTGTGTGACCAGGACACCACAGGAGAGCTAGGGTATAGTGCCACCCCCCTGGTGTGTGACCAGGACACCACAGGAGAGCTAGGGTATAGTGCCACCCCCCTGGTGTGTGATCAGAACACCACAGGAGAGCTAGGGTATAGTGCCACCCCCTGGTGTGTGGCCAGGACACCACAGGAGAGCTAGGGTATAGTGCAACCCCCCTGGTGTGTGGCCAGGACACCACAGGAGAGCTAGGGTATAGTGCCACCCCCTGGTGTGGCCACGACACCACAGGAGAGCTAGGGTATAGTGCCACCCCCCTGGTGTGTGGCCAGGACAGCACAGGAGAGCTAGGGTATAGTGCCACCCCCTGGTGTGTGGCCACGACACCACAGGAGAGCTAGGGTATAGTGCCACCCCCTGGTGTGTGGCCAGGACACCACAGGAGAGCTAGGGTATAGTGCCACCCCCCTGGTGTGTGGCCAGGACACCACAGGAGAGCTAGGGTATAGTGCCACCCCCTGGTGTGTGGCCAGGACACCATAGACATACACATCCCACCATAACATCAACTCCACCACTAGCTACTGGCCTCCTCCCCTCTCCTCCCCCGCCTGTAAACAAGACCGTCCCACAAACACCGCTCATATTCACAGGCCATCGCTCACTTGCCAGATTTACCGCCGCTAAAAATAATCGACGAAATATTTCTGCGAATCACATAAGTCATCTGGCATCCTGACCAATGGAGGCCAAATGGGGATAGGGCGCGTGTGAGCGCTCAGTCGATACCCAGCGGTCGAGGCGGAAGGCCACGCTCCCGCGCTCCGCGTTAGTGCTAACTCGCCCCAGCTGCCGCGCACTCGGCCTCCAGTGACGTAGAGAGAGAGGACCCTACTGGAAAATATCCCACGAGTCCGTACACCTCCTGGATCTTAACTCGTTGGTAGGGCCCAAGAGCCTGTGGGAGTAGGGAGCGTGTGCTTGGTGCTAGCGGTTCGCCCAGACAGGTGTGTGTGTGTGTGTTTGGTTCTGACAGGTGTGTGTGGTGTTCGGATAAGACAGGTGTGTCTTGTAGCGGTCGTCGCCTGGAGGTCACCGGAACCGGCCCCTTCCTTCCCCTCGGACACCGCCTGAAGGTAAGAATCCGTCCCTCCTCTTGGGGAACTATTGGGGGAGGGGGGAGGGAACTAATGGGTAGGGAGGGGGGAACTATGGGTGTGGGGGGGAGGGAACTAATGGGTAGGGAGAGGGGAACTATGGGTGTGGGGGGGAGGGAACTAATGGGTAGGGAGGGGGGAACTATGGGTGTGGGGGGGAGGGAACTAATGGGTAGGGAGAGGGGAACTATGGGTGTGGGGGGGAGGGAACTAATGGGTAGGGAGGGGGAACTATGGGTGTAGGGGGGAGGGAACTAATGGGTAGGGAGGGGGGAACTATGGGTGTGGGGGGGAGGGAACTAATGGGTAGGGAGGGGGGAACTATGGGTGTGGGGGGGAGGGAACTAATGGGTAGGGAGTGGGGAACTATGGGTGTGGGGGGGGAGGGAACTAATGGGTAGGGGGGGGGGAACTATGGGTGTGGGGGGGAGGGAACTAATGGGTAGGGAGGGGGGAACTATGGGTGTGGGGGGGAGGGAACTAATGGGTAGGGAGGGGGGAACTATGGTGTGGGGGGGGGGGAGGGAACTAATGGGTAGGGAGGGGGAACTATGGGTGTGGGGGGAGGGAACTAATGGGTAGGGAGGGGGAACTATGGGTGTGGGGGGGAGGGAACTAATGGGTAGGGAGGGGGAACTATTGGGGGAGGGGGGAGGGAACTAATGGGTAGGGAGGGGGAACTATGGGTGTGGGGGGGAGGGAACTAATGGGTAGGGAGGGGGGAACTATGGGTGTGGGGGAGAGGGAACTAATGGGAAGGGAAGGGATGGGGGGAACAAACAAGAGAGTTAATGGGGGTCAAACAAGAGAGAGACGGGCCAGGTGGGCCTGGCATCAACACCAGAACAGTACACAAGAGGTAGTAACGACT